TATTGCTAAATTGGGCATTTTTTGCTTTAAAAGCGATTAAATTATGTTGTTCTTATGCTCCGATTAAGATTTTTACGGCTTTAGTTAATGTGCATGTAATATTTGCAGAATTATCAACAATTTAAAAGTTGTTTTTTTCTAAGCTTAACGAAGCCGCCGTTTGTTTACATCTGGATTATTGCTCTAAGTAGGAGAACGAATTATGTCAGTTTCTGCGCCAACTTTAGTGTCTTTTTTGGGTAGTGGGACGAAAAGTAAACTTTCAATTTCGTGGACCGAATTTCGCCTACTGGGTTGAATTGCTTGTTTTTTGCGTGCAAACTCTTAATTTTAGCTGTAAAAATTGTTTTTTAACTGCTTAGTGTATTTCTTGTTTTATATTTTTCTGTATTTTACAGTTTTATTTTATTCTAACGTATTGGCAAATTCCGCGTTTTTGTTTTAAAAGTCATTGAATTAGGTTGATCTTATGTTCCGTTTAAGGTTTTTATTACGGTTATTAGTCATTCTGCATGCAATGGATGTAGAATTATCAACATTTAAAAGTGGTGCCATTAAAAGCCTAACGAAACCACTATTTGTTTACATTTGAAAATTAGTAGAATTGTGAATTTAGTCAGTTTGTGCACCAACTTCAGTGTCTTTCTGTCAAGAAAGACCAAAAGTAAACTTTTAGTTTTTATGCATCGAAAGATACATGTTCCTAGCCGTTGACCGAATTGCTTCTTTTTGCCCAGAAACTCTAATTTTAACTGTAAAAAAAATTGTAACTGTTTTTAACTGTATTTGATGTTTAAAGTTTTTCTGCATTTTACAATATTTAATGAAGATATTTTGAGTTTTGTGTATTGCCGCGAAGTGAGAACTGAATTAATTGAATGAGAAATATATCTCTTATGAAAATCTAAGATATAAGTTTAAATGAAATGCAACAAAAAATGTGTATAATTTAATAGGCCACACAAGGAAGTCATGTGATACCTACATTAGATTTTTTAAGGTAAAATCAAAATCGTCCATCTATTAAGTCAGATATTTTTTTAAGAATTTCAGGCTCCCTGTTTGTCACACAAAATATATTCATGGGTTCATGAAGAACTTTGTTATTATCATAAAGTGTATATATTATATATTCATTTTTTTGAAATCATGTAATTTAAAATGTTTCTAATTCAGCTGTATTAGTTGCTAATTTAGTAGTTGCAATTTTTTAATGTTGCTCTGTGGTGTTATTCTATATTAGACTATTGTGGTTTGTCCAACATATTTAAATTTCAATGTGTTACAAGTGAGAGATAATGCCATTATAAGTTTTTCAAAGGTAGTTGTTTAGATGTCTGTGATATTAAAAGGCATATTTGCAACTTTACAAGTAGTCATTTGGTAGAATATAAGACCCATACATCTGCTGCAAAGAATTATTATATATTAAAGAACATACTTTGCTCAAAGAATAGTTAATTAAAGATGTATTTTAATTTTTAAATTTAATTTTTTGACTTAAATTCATTAATTCTTATATATATATAGTATAAGATTCTAGAATACAGATAGGCGAATATAACCATGCAATAAATGTTTAACAATTGCTTTGCATAAGGAATGCAGTCCATTCCAGTAGAACGTTCATCATGCAAGATGGTGTTCCCCATAAGTCGCAGGAATCATTTTAATCAGTTCCTGAACCCTATCAAAAACATCGTAAAAAATTCTCCGGATATTGAAGCAATCTCCAGTTTTTAAATCTTTTAAAGGACTCGCTAATTTATTTCATATACAAAATATTTGCATACATTATGCATATGAACATTCTACATACACAGTATAAAATTATGCTTGTAAAACATTTATAAACGTAGTGTATGTAAATGCACAATGTGTGTAATAGTTTTATAAATTTCAATTCAATTCAGCCTGAGTCTTAGAGCCTTCCACCGGAAAGGCAAGCCTCAACTGTTCTTGACCTTCTCGAACTTCTTTCCGTTTTCTCAGGTGCAAAGGAAGATTTCTAAGAAGTGGATGAAAGTAGCTTGTTCCCCCTCCCCTTCAGGATGCTTTATCTCTTCTTCAGAATTCTCAAGTAGAACATGGCGTTGTTACGGAACAGATCCTGCACTCTCTTCTCCTTAGTATGATTTTGATGCCACCGTATGGATGTGGCTTGCACTTTTCCCCCACTTCTTCCACAGTTTTGTTTTGTTTGTTTACTTTTTTGTTTTCCTGCTCCTTAAAAGAAATCCTTTTTTTTGGGTGGTGGTGTTTTTTTTTTTTTTTTGTTTCTGCTTAAGGAGAGTTTGAAAATCTTCAGTTGTAATATATGATTAATAAATATATCAACTCTTCAGTATCTTCTGGTTTTCGCCTTATTTATGCACAGATGCATTTATTTATTTATTACTTCCTTGTAGAACATAAAGAAAGTATTGCAATCGCGAAATTTCGGTGACCCTATTTAAGGGTATCAGAATACCGACAATGGTTAATTAGAATTTTTCATGTACCTTTCTTTCTCAACACTGCTGTAGATACAACGCTTGAATTTTTCTGTAATTAAAGTATACCTGATCTGATTATACTGAACTGAGCTTTTGAAAACATTTTCAATTTTAGAGTAAATTACATATATTTTGTAGGCATGGAGTAAATTTAGCCACTTTTCTCACACAAAACAATTAAATTTTTTTTTTCTATTTATTACCAAAACTCTTCAGTAAATATTAGAGAAACCTAATAAATACCCCATAAAACGTTTAGATACTTCTATGAGTAGTTCCTGAAAGGTACATCGAGATAAAAAATCCGTTGGGAGGAGAACGCGTTTTTATGTAACATCCTCATTGATCAAAGCAGTAGATTAAAGTAAACTAATTTTTTTACAGTTCTAATTGTCATTGAGAGTAAAGAGGTATTTTTAAATTTGAATGCAAAGCCAATCACAATTTTTTGAAGATTTTGGGGTTCTAACTCCCCTTAACTAAAATACCTCGAGATCCAATTGAACGATGTTGTTCAGTTTGAAAGATGTTACATCTCTACGTACGGACAAAATAAAACGCTCTTTTCCTAAAACGGACGGTAAAATGGATTCAGAAGAGATTTTTTTCGTGACGTTACATACGTTCGCATAAACTCAAAAACGAGTAGCCGTAGAACTTTGAAATTTTGAATACGGGACTGCTATAACATGCAGTTGTGCATCTCCCTTTGTTTTTTGCAATCGGCCGCACCAAACGTATATACTGCTTAAACTATTTACTAATTTTTTTCTAATAATTCATAGTTTTTATTAAACTTCTACTCCTTGGAGATGATGATATTTAAAAACATTTTCTAATAATAAATTATATATATAAATATAAATATATATTGCCACTCTGTTACCCGGCTAAGTGAGGTCTTCTTTTTTATTCTTATATGCTGGTAAATTGTGCTTTTTTTTACTTTAAAAGTTATAAGAGGTATTTCTCACGTCTTCTTAGCATGCCTTCGTTGTGTAATGGCCAACACGCTCGGCGCGTATTCGAGAGGTCCGTGGTTCGAGTTCCGGCGAGGGCATTGCTCATTTTTAACGACTCCTGCTTCAAAATACTTATGTTTCTACAAAGTGATTGAATTATGTTCTTCTTATGTTGCGGTTAAGGCTTTTATGCCTTAACCGCAACATAAGAAGACATATGGTTAATCTGCATGCAATAGTTTAGATTATCAACAACTTAAATGTTTAAGTTCTGCTAAGCATAACAACGCCGCCGTTTGTGTACATTTAGCACTCTTAGTAGAAGAGTGAATTAAGTCAGTTGGTGCACCAGTTTCAAAGTCCATTTGCCCAGTGTGACCAAAAGTTAGCTTTCAATTCCGTGCACGGAAAATTTTGTCTTCCTTCCCTCAGGCCAAATTGCTTGTGTTTGCTTATAAACTCTAATTTTTGTTGTTCTTATGTTCCAGTTAAAGTTTTTATGCTTTTATTTAATTTGATGCAATAGTTGTAGAAATATCAACAATATAAATGTGTAAGTGGCCCTAGGCCTAATGTTTTAGCTGTTTGTTTACATTTGAATCTCTAGTATAGTGAATTAAGTCAGATGGTGCATCAACTTCAGTGTGTTTTTGCCCAACTGGACCGTACTTCTTGATGTAAAATATCTTTATATTGTTCAATAAGCACTAGTATTGTAAGAATCCGCAATACGGCTGTCTTCCAACATCAGCCCCTGTTTGGTAATATTGTTTTTCTGGACAGCTGCGGTATCGGACGCGTAATGGCAAACCGCACATTGAGTTCATCAATGTTAAACGAATTTTGCTTACTGCGCATGCCCAGAATAGAATTTAGCGCAATTACAACTTTGGCGCATTTTAAAAGAAGATAAATACGATATATTTTTGATATTGTGTTTTCTGGGTGTAAACAGTTCGGGGTTTTAAAATTTGTTAGGTTGTAAGTTGCTTCATTACATATAGTGTAAATATCGATTGTAAACTACGCAAACTTTCGTTTAATAAGGATTACAAAAGAGGAAATGTTACAAGATATTTTAGCTGAATGTTTAATTTACAGTTTTTAATGAAGATGTGATGAGTTCTTAAATATTTTAGCCTTGGCGCGAAGTCAGAACTAAATTGATTGAGCGAGAAATATATCATGAATGAAATTCTGGAAAATAAGTTTAAATGAAGTGCAGCAAAAAAAAAATGTGTGTAATTCAATGGGCCGTAAGTAATTTGGTGTCCAAATCAGATTTTGTAACCAGTAGATGACTTCTTTTAATTTTATTATAAATTATTTCGTACTGGCAAAAGAACATATATCTACCTTCCTGCAGAAACAGTTGTAAAACTCTGAGTAAACAGTGACTTGAAAATAAATACAAATAAATCGACTCTGGTGTTCTATTGAAATTATCAATAATTTGAAGTATTTTCGTCGTGTATGTTGATTTTTCATTTATTTGTAGCAATACATCTTGGCCTGGAAAGCCACTACTATAAAATTAGTCAAAATGTGTGCCATGTCCAATTCTTTAAATACAGAAGATGATAATTATTTGGGAGAGATGATAATTATTTCCGAAAATGACTCATCCAATAATTCAGGTAATAACTGAGATTGAAACAATGATACAATACCAGAAGTAGAAGACAGATATTAAATGAATAAATCATTTTATTGTACAATACGAGAAATGAAGATTTTTTGGAGCCTTAAAAATAAGGCAATTAAAACAAACACGATTTTATTTGAATGAGTTTATTTTTTAACATATTTTGGCAGCACATAGGTCACCAACATTACTTTTTTCCTTTTATAAATTCCATGGAAAATTATTTTATTTATTTAAATAATACTTGCTTTTACTTCAGTTTTAGTTGGAGATAAGTGCAATTTTCTCAATATACCATTAACGTGTTTTGTAAATGTAGATAGAAGTCATGATTACTTTCACATCCGACGTCGAATCTTTTATTACTTTTCCTTTCATTACTTTTAAATCCGGCGTATATTCTTCGAAACCTATTTTTTTTCTTTATGTTGGAGATTTTATTTTATTGAATGAGTTTTTTTTTAACATATTTTGGCAGCACATAGGTCCACCAACATCTTTTTTCCTTTATAAAATTTCCATGGAATATTTATTTTTTTTTATAATTAAATAACCTTTTTTACTTCAGGTTTAGTGGAGATAAGTGCATATTTAATCAATCCATTAACGTTTTTGTAAATGTGATAAGTCATGATTACTTTTCACACATCCGACTCGAATACTTTTATTTACTTTTCCTTCATACTTTTAATATCCGGCGATATTCTTCGAACCTATTTTTTCTTTATGTGGAGATTTATTTTATTTGAATGAGTTTATTTTTTAACATATTTTGGCAGCACATAGGTCACCAACATTACTTTTTTCCTTTTATAAAATTTCCATGGAATAATTATTTTATTTTATAATTAAATAATACTTGCTTTTACTTCAGGTTTTAGTTGGAGATAAGTGCATATTTAATCAATATAACCATTAACGTGTTTTGTAAATGTAGATAGAAGTCATGATTACTTTTCACATCCGACGTCGAAAATCTTTTATTACTTTTCCTTTCATTACTTTTAATATCCGGCCGTATATTCTTCGAACCTATTTTTTTCTTTATGTTGGAGATGAAGGGGGTGTCAAAACTTAGATTTTGGAACATATAGTATGTTTCTAACCTTGATTAGCAAATGAAGTATAAATGAATGAAACTCGCATTTAAATCAATGCATGTGAAATAAATTGCCTATCACTCTTTATTAGTAGCCCTAGCGCAGTCAGCCATTTAAAATACTTGTTACAAAAAAACATATATATATATATATATATATAATGATTATAACGGAAAAAAAATATTTTACGCATTCTCAAGTAGCAAGCAATACGTTTCTTTTGAATCGTTGAGTTTTCTGATTAAATTTGAAAAACTCTCTTACGCTCTTGGCGAGTGGCAACACTCTTTTTACTGGCTGAATTTTTTAATCAAAATTAAATTCTTACGAAGTAAGAAGTAAATAAAAAACATTCGAAATTCAAAATTTGGACTTCAGCTGAGAGACTGTAGAATCATTAGGATTTAAAGTAGGAAAAGTAAAAAATGCGTAGTTCGAACTCGGGATTCGAACAGCGGCCCTTCCGAATACACGTCGAATGTGCTTCCAGAAGAGAAAAGAGAACCCAGTCGCCGAATCCTGTTGGTGACGAATTATCATCCACCACCTTTTAGTTCGGGCGCCAATTGTTAAAATTTTAGAATTTTTCGAAGTCAGGAAACTGAAGAAATCTGCTTTGCCCTCACCGAACGCCAGACCCTTCCGAATTCGCATAGAACATGCTTCTAGTTACACCACGAAGGTTTGCGGAAATGAAAGAGAAAATACTTTAGGTACTTCCCTTTTAAAGGGCAACTGGGAATCAGTGGACTCAGCCCACTTTTTAGTTTGGGCGCCACTTGGTGAGTCTTTTAGAATGTTTTAGAGCAACGAAATCGAAGACATCCAAATTACCCTCACCGGGATTCGAATTCGGGACTTCCCGAATCCGCGTCGAGTGTGCTTCCAGTTACAACACGCAGACATGCAGAAAGGAAGGAGAAAATGTTATAAGATTTTGAAAGTTTTCAAAATTTAGTGGCCTCAAGTCCCATCGTTTTCCTAAAATATGAAGTCCATACGTGCATGCATACAGACAGGTTTATCGTTATTTAACAAAAGGGGAACTCGTAATAGCTTTTGAGTTTCTGGATAATCAAGAAATACCAGTGCACATAAATATCCATACGTGCATACATACGTAAGTCCATACGTGCATGCATACATACAGGTTTATCGTTATTTAACAAAAGGGGAACTCGAAATAGCTTTCAAGTTTCTGGATAATCAAGAAATACCAGTGCACATAAATATCAACATACTTCACAGATGTTTGTTTGCTGATCTACAGCATTTTAGTAGCCAATTTTTTATCACTATCTACATCTAAATTAGCTAACTCATACATATATACAGATAAATTGCTTTTACAAGTTAAGAGGGGTGATAGTACTCACAGAGGGATATTATAATTTCACTGACTTAAACAGTGTTGGGAGAGCGAATGAAGGAAACCAAAAGTTGCACGATCAGTTTAATGAAAAACTGACAGAGAGTGCACGAAACGGATAAAGCCGAAAACCTGGCTTTCGAGTGTTAATTCGAGCTCAGACTTTGATGGCAAACACTTAAATGCACATCTTTGGTTCGCAGCTTCGCAAACGATTGCAACAATTATCTAAATTTTTAGGGAAAAATTATCTATTAGGGTGAAAAACTGCTACCTTGATATCAAGTTACCAATGTATCTGACTTTTTCCCCTTCTCCATCTTCTATCCTGTTCTCCTGGACTTACTGTGCTGCGCTTATTCTACTTGAAACGCCCTTGTATGGGAGACGATGTTCTGACAGCCAGAATGCAGCATGAACTTTTCATGCTAATAGCGGCATACAGCGGAAATTGGAGTTAGTTGATAATATTCAGCCCTGATTAATATTTACTTTTGATCTTTGAAGGTTAGACTTGCCAACCACAGTGCATTTGAGTGTTTTCCATCAAAGTCTTTTCTTACTAAACTGATTGTGCAACTTTTAGTCTCGTTCATTCGCTTTCCCAACACTGCTGTAGGTTCAGGTTGGAATTCTAATATTCTTCTTTTCTTCCTCTCAGAGTGGAATGCGACCTATGGTAATTATTGCTCATCTGGTTGAGTGCTATCATCCCTCTTAATTTGTAAAAACAATTTAGAATCACCCTGTAGATATATTCATATTATTCTAAAATATTAAGATTTCAAGGTTGGCAGATCATCTTTGTGACTACATCAGCGGGCCTTAAGCAAAGCAAGAAACTCTTGCATTCAAATCGTGCCTGATGTCTTTACGCGGTGTAAATGGATGCACAGGAGTTCACAAGACTTTACAAAGTCTCATTTGTTGATATCAGTGTCTAAATCACTATAATTCACTGCATAAATGTAGCATATTATTTTTACAGCATATATATTAACCGCATTTCGCAGATTAACCAACGACAAAAACTGTACTTTGGGGCTGCTTATAACTGTGTGAATGTGTGATTTTACAGCCGAATGCCAATATAAATTTTTATATGTTAACTGTTTTATTTTAATTGCAGATTTAGAAGATAGGCTACTTCATTTGAAGGGACAAATGTTGTACATGGAAGAATGGAAAAGCATGGCTTATTTAGGAACACCCGTGTAAGTTTCGTTTTCTTTTATTCTAATTTTCATGCATCATTATGATGTATAGGTATCTAATTATTTTAATATTTCTGGGAAAATGCTTAAGTTTAAATCTGTGTTCTCTTACTTCAGTCCTCTTAAATCAAGTAATACTTCAAAAAATAAATCGATAAGAACTTAAGAAAAAGAATCTAAACTATTAAAAATCTGTCCGCGTTTGTCTGTCTGTCTGTTTGTGACATTATCGCCTCCGTAACGGCAGAGACACATCCCGGATTCCTGAGAAACCATTTCGCCAATTCTCTTCTTCGTACGGCTTTAATCAGCCAAGGCATTAATCAAAAACTCTGAAAACGCTACACTGGTAACAAAAAACTTATTTTCGAATATGCGGCTGCGGGTTGCACAAGATATTAATATTGATTATTGCGAGATATTAATTAAAACTCTTAAAACTCTAATTTTAACAACAGCAAAAAATTTATTGATGAATTATTTTTTTTGCTTGAAAAGCCCTCTCATCTAGCGAGCTTTCCCGTTAGTGTTTAATAAAAGCTGTATTTACTACATAAAACTGTAATTTTGGTCGTCCGATTCGTACATACCTTCTTCTAACAACAACTTCATCTGTTGCCAACCGAGAATATAAAATTATCTAGTAAATTAGTTTTTAAAAAGAAAACACTTAGAGGGTGTTCGGCATAAATTTGACAGTTTCGTAAGGAAAAAGAAAATCCGCTTGTATGAGTACTAAAAAACAATACTTGTATGAGTACTTATCATAGACATACAGTAGTAGCGAAGGTCTTCATTGAGTGCAAGCTTCATAATAGAGGCTGCAACATTCATTTCAAATGACAAAGGCCGAATTCCAATGCCAGGGTTATTCAAACCTGTTCCTGCAGATTTGAGAGGATCTGCTTACGACGCTATCAAGTCTGCTAGATCTTTCTTCTGATACTCCTAGTAGTCACCATTGCAAGTCTCTAGTTCATGCTGATTGTTTTTCGTTTCAGCGCATTCGGCAGCAGTCATAATATCTATTTTGATGATGGCACGAAACTCATATTCAAGTATTCTTCATGATTAGTGAGGTTCATATCCATCCTCTATATATTTGTATATGATGAAGAAGGGCCAAACTTTTAAGACGAGTAGTGCGTGTCAATACCTCCAACCTACGGAAAAATATAATCACTTATAAATATGTCAAATTTATCCCGAACACCCTGTACAATGCTTATAAAAGTTCTGCTATAAACTAAGAATAACAAAGTATTCAGAATTTGATAGCAAATTCAGCAACAGAATGTCATTCATTAATAACGAAAATCTTTTTAAATACAATAAATTATAAAAGATTATTAAACTGAACTTTCAGATACGTTGATTTGAATTTGACTTTCATTTGCAACAAAACACAAAGGTAAATTAGTATATAATTTAAAATATAAAATTCTAATGTACAGTAACTTACAGTGTAGTTCATTATGGATAACAAAGAATCTATTATTAGGCTGTTACGTGTTATTATGTAAATATGTGGCAATGCGTGTAATTTATGATGCACTTAGTCTATAAAATTATTTAGAGCCAGTCCAAATTTTGTCCCAAACGATTTCAAGCATCTCGAATTCTTTTAATAAAAAAATTTGCATAATATTTTCTTTGCGATGTCTGTAAACTCCAAAGTTTTGAATATCTTGTTGTACATAGAGCGAAGACTCTTTAACGCAAATAAATCAAATAAATAATGTATTATTATTGTGAAAATTCGTGCATCATCATTTATTTGCAAAAGAAGAATTATCTAACTATTAATGAGATAACTATTATAACTAATTCTGTGGGCAAAAAAAAATTATTTTCAAAATGTTAAATTAATGTCTAAGATTTCTAATTACAGTTCTATGCTTAAGTTAGCGTGTAGGGTAATCAAAATTAAGTAACAAGTTCAAGTCAATGCTTCTGAATGATGAAGGTACTCCACCTCTAGGAGCAATTCCATTATTAAAAGGGGATGATATAAAAAAGAAGTCAGAAAAAGAATTTCTAGGAGCTCTAATCTGTTTTTGTACAGTTGTGTTTTCGAAATTTATTTGTAAACCATCATCTATTACAACTAAAATATGCTCCTAGTTGATTTAAAAATTTTACATTATTTTTTCCTTATGTTTACTACGTTATATTTCAGCATGAGGGATCTAGATGCCATGCTACATACTGGTTTATATATCAACGATCTGAGCATGCATGACTTTAGCAGAGATATGGTTTTGGCAGGCCAGCAACAATCTGCAGAATTGAAACTCGCCTTAGATCAAGTAAGTTTGCATTAGTAAATAAAATGTCTGAACTAGAGACTCAATGATAGACTGTCAAGAGACTCAATTAATTGAATTCTGAATGCCAAGGATCAAGAGCATCACATGATTTGAATAACTTCTAATGCATTAAAAATCAAGGTTACTGTACTAAAAGATTTGCTCTTCTCGACAATAAATTTTCGAGCGCGTGACGTCATTGCTTCCTCGGGTAAGCAAATGTAGTTGTGTCTTCGTTTCTGCTCCTTCCTATAAGAAACTGACGTGTGTTAAGAAGTGCATAACCTTGTTAGTCCACTGGCCTTGGAAGTAATGATCTTCATCAAGTAGTCTAGGACAGTTATCTCCAGACTTTTTCAGTTGTGTACCCCTAAGACGGAAATAATAATAAATTTTACCCGATATTTTAATGTGGTATGTGCTTAAGAATGCTATGAGAAAACCTGGGACTTCTATTATGCATCAGATCACGATCATACACTCTCAAGTGATCGTGAACCTACTTCTCTGACATTCCGCTGGAGTACGCGTACCCCCCCCCACTTCGGAGACCACTAATCTAGGATACTGAAAGAATCTAATACCTCAATCTTCATAACATCGTTATCTTAATCACAGGGTCTAGAATTTTGGGAGAATCTAATATCTCAGACCACATAATATCATTATCTTAATCACATGGTCTAGGACGAGGACGGTCTAGGCGAACGTTTTTGGGGCCGCGTGCCATTCCGTTTAAGATATTAAATTAGAATTATTCATAAATTACCTCAAAATGCTTAGATCTGAAAACTGGAATTTATTTCACAATGAAAATATTAAAACTCACCGGCAGTCTGAAATAAATTTGAATTCGTTTAGGAAACATTAGCTGCTTCAACTTTGTATTCTTTGCCATGTAACAAGTCATATGATTGACCCAAACCATTGAAACGTCATAAATTGAATCAATAAATATGCATATCATTTTTATGGTGATATATGAAAATCTGATATCTAGGCTTAAGCTCTATGCCAGTCGCATTATGCGATAAGTATGAAAGTGAAACGTTCAGGAACACACTAAAACATTTAAATTACATAGTATCATTTTATTGTGATTATTTATTAAGGAAGTAATATTTTAGTCGCGTACCGGCTAATGAGGCTCTGCGTGCCGACTGTGGCACGCGTGCCGTAGGTTCGCCATCACTGATCTAGGATGTTGAGAGAATCTAATATCTCAAACCTCATAACATCATTATCTTAATCACATGGTCTAGGATGCTGATAGAGTCTTATACCATCTTATCTAACACTTCATAATATTTGATCAGGGAGTGTGAAATTATAAGGAAATGTTTCTTCCCTTCATCTAGGAACTCCAAAAAAGTCGGCAGCTAGAAGAATCCATGCGAAAATTAGACATCGAGATGAAAAGAACAGACGAACTACTCTACCAGATGATTCCAAAACAAGTGGCAGATAGGTTGAGGAGGGGCGAAGCGGCGGTAGACACGTGTCAGGTAAATGAATTATTAATTATTATTAACTATGTCTTTTTAGAATGCTGTGACACTTCATACCAATATACGTCATTAATCCTTTTCAGATCCTTAGATTTATACCAAAGTGGACATATAGCAATCAATACGTCTAATTCCAACAAAAAAGTGAAATTAATTAATCCGTTCTTATAAAAAAATCTTATTTTTATTATTATGACACTGTTTAATATTAAAATACAAATGTGGTGGGTGAAATATATGAGAGAATTGAGGGCTGCGGAAATAATAAACTCTTGTGAAAAATTAAGAGAATTTGCCTATTATGTCGAATTTCTGAAAACCTAACGGGCAGATTTTAATGAAATTTGGTATGAATATACATTTATAACAGATAAAGAGATGTACCATTAAGAATTCGTTTAGATACTCATGATTATCAGCAAAACGTATATTGCAGGGACATCTAAAATCCACGTTGTGATAGTGACTTGAAAACGAGTCTAATATTGAATATGGCCAACTCTCACACCAAGACAGATCGTGCAGTATGACGGCATACTCTAAAGGAGGCAGTTAAGGAGTCCCTTTGGCAGTCAATCTCACTCCTGCAGCAAAGCAGTTTTCAGCTCAGGAATGATTCTCGGAGGGGAATAGCGAGATGAAACTGCCCTCCCAGTAGTGTCCCTTACATGCTGTATACGGTTATAATCAGGACATCTGGTGTCCTTTCCATGCGCCGAATATTCTCACCTATCAGGTAATCGTAGGTAGCTGAGTCCTATGTGGACGATGGTTGTTGTCCATTAACAGGAACCCAGGACCAATTGCACCGTAAAAGCCTAATATAGAGCTATAAGATACCCTTTCTGTACCTCTCTGTACCCGGCATGTTTTTGACAAAGGCTGTCTAAAGCAGTCAGAATATGCAGGTGTGTGTGGACGTCCGATGTAATTTCTTAGCCAAATATTATACTTCCACCGCCGTTATAATCCTTTCCCTTGATGAGGGAGAGATGGTATCGTGTTCCAGGTTCTGTCCAGATACCGGTAAGCACGGGCCTCGACTAAAGTTTGATCCAAGTCGCATGTTGTTTCCATCATGCTAAATACGCTGTTTTGAATGCTGTACTAAGCGGAAGGTAAACAGCTGGTCTTCTTGCATACAGCTCTATCTCACGAAGCCTTCGGGCAACTCTAGTCCTTAAAACTCGTGTTCCAGTGTCAGCATACAGGTCCGCGAGAGCTGTGAATATGTAGCAGTTCTGTGTCACTGCGCTGCAAATTCCAGATAACAATCCTCGTTCGTGTGGATCTTGATGGAACTAGTTTAGGTCTTCTCGATATGGATCCAGCATCCTGAAACTTTTTCCACAAATTACAGACTGAACTATGCAGTCACCTGAGTTTGTGACTGATTTGCCTCCCTACTGGCAATTATCCATATCTCATCCCATCATCGATATGTTCGTGGCTGCTCATTTACCTGATACCTCGTAAAATTTACCTAGTTATTGCGAGAATACTGCGAATGTTTGAGTACGAGCACACAAACCGCCGAAAACCCATGTTGCGCTTATATCCCCTCCACAATCACCCAGCTCCGCAGACACGCACGTATTGGATTTTGCATTCGACTCTGACTATTTGCATAATTCTTCTGCGGCATAATTAGTACTTTTGTTCCAATTCTTTTCGTAAAAAATTGCCATAATTTGCATTTTCTCTTAATTTTGCATACCAGTGTATGTACTGTGCATAACCGAAATTTACCAAATTTATTTTTCTCTTTTTGTTTTTATTCTTTCGTCATTGTTAGTAATACAATAATTCATACAGTTGTTAATGACATTCGGAATGCAATAGCTATCTTCATACTTTTAACAGTCTGTTTTTACACCTCCATGATGATATTAATCCTTGTTTCTTTGCTGCTTGGTTCTTCAGGTTAACCGTCTTAAAACTTATTATCAATGAATTTTCAAACGTTCTGTGTGAAAAGAAATCACAGGAAAATTCAGAGTCATAGATCTCATTGTTTACTGAATCGTAGCAAAAGAAATGCTTAATCTCATGGACAGCTGTAGCATTTTTTGGGAAGAAGTAAACAAAGGTAATGCACGGAGTTGTGACTCACGAAACTCGAGTCATATTCCAAATATCATGTACAAAACAAAATTTTCGCTCTCAAGTAAGACTTTTACATCAAGGCTGCACTTATTTTAAAGCAGTAGTATTCGCAGTAGTACCTAAGGACCATTGTATACTCAATGAACAATTTATTATGTAAAACTTAGTTAATAATGATACTCATTGAAGAATAAAACTTAGTGGCTTACTAAGTCTACAAGCCGCTTGAAAAGTAGCAACTATATTCTTGGCCAGTGACTGGACGTATTCACTTAGCTTATTAAGACTACCTGGTTCGACGTATTCACTTAGCTTAATAAGACTACCAACCGCTTGAAGAGCAGCAACTATATTCTTGGCAAGTAATTCCACGTATTCAATTAGCTTATTAAGCCTACCAGCCGCTTGAAGAGCAACAAGTATATTCTTAGCCAGTGATTAGACGGATTCACTTAGCTTACTAAGACTACCAGCCGCTCGAAGAACAGCAACTATATTCTTGGCCAGTGATTCCACGTATTCACTTAGCTTACTAAGACTACTAGCCGCTTGAAGAGCAGTAACTATATTCTTGGGCAGTGATTCGATTTACTCACTTAGCATATTAAGACTACCATGAAGAGCTATTTTCTTGGCCAATTCGACAACTTTTACTGCTTGAAGAGCAGCAACTATATTCTTGGCCAGTGATTCCACGTATTCACTTAGCTTACTAAGACTACCAGCCGCTTGAAGAGCAGTGATTATATTCTTGGCCAGAGATACAACATATTCACTTAATCTGAATTAATAGCGAATTAATAGCCAGTTTACTTCACTCTTAAGTTTATGTACAATTTTGTAAAAGATTGCATGTTTCATATTTTATTGTCTAAATTTCATATTATATTGGTATGTGTGTGTGCGCGCGTGTACAGCAAACAAAAATCGCATAGTATACGTACCTCAGTAGGATGAATGTTAGAAGATAGGCATCCGTATTTAAAATGTTGATACTGCAAAGGCTGCTCATATAAGCTTATGTTTCAGTCTTTCTTTATTTTCAGTATTTCGACTGCGTAACGGTTTTATTCAGTGATGTTGTGACCTTCACGGAAATCTGTAGCCGCATCGCCCCCATGGAAGTCGTATCCATGCTTAACTGCATGTACAGCCTATTTGACCAACTTACAGAAAAACACGACGTTTACAAGGTGAGTGAAAGGTGATATTTGTTGAAACCATTAAAAAAGATAAGATAAAACTATGTAAATATAGTCATAAAGTTGAGAAGTTAAATAAGAAAGCTATTAAAAGTTTATATTGTATTTTATCTTGTCTCTTTTATCAGTTAAATTTTGTAACAAAACAGTTTTTATGCAAACTGCCAATATAAAGAAGATTTATTAAGAACAGTTTGTCATACACAAAGCATGTATATCTTGCATTAAAAAAAAGGACTGTTCTATATCTCCCGTTCTACTGACCCATTTGGCGAAATTTGATTTGCGTTTTTCATGTCTGGAAAGTGCGACTTAGGATATATATTAGATTTATATATAGCATTGTTTTTCCGTAGGTATTATGACACAAAATCGGACTTTCTCTGAAACGACATACCTGTTTTTTTCCACCTTTCGTTTCTACGATTCATATTACGCCAAAGCGACAAGTTTTGTAAATAATAATAATATGTCATAATGCGGGCACTATAATGCTAATGCGGATTTCTTATGAACGTAAGAATAGAAGGTCTGAAACTATCGCTATATTTATTCGATATAAATCTGTGTCACTGTGATCTCTTCGCCAAAGCGAAAAATCCGTATGAGGGATCCATTACTACGGTTAGAGGAGGTTACCTCTGTTTAAGAGCGGTGGCTGGGTGCATCAGCTGGTAGACTGGCTGATGCATGGAGGTAGGAAGTAAGAAGGAGTCGCCCTAAACAAGTTTCTCCGTACCCTGCTCTGAAGCACCGGCGATCCCTACGTGGTGACCAAAACATTGGGTCATTTACCATTGAGTTCTATGGGATTTGACGCGCTCGGGTGTAAATATTTTGTAATTACGTCGCAAATATACATATAAATGTATATATTTTCTTTTTCTACAACACGTCAGAGTCCTAAGTATGTGAAAACAACATATTTTTAAACAACATTTCATTCTGAACGGAATTAAATGCTATATACTTTTCACAGGACAGTTTTCTCAGAATGGTTTAATTTGAATGAAATATTTTCACAAGTTTTCGTTAATTACATTAGAAAAAAAAATTAAGGTAATTCGATTTTATTCGGTTAAGGTACAAAAATTAAGATCAAAGTTTATTGTATTATTAATATTAAAATTATGCATTATTTCTTTTCTATTTATAGAGCTTCTTCCTAAAATACTTCCTTAAATATGACATGATTTTTGGCTTCTTTTAAATCGAAAAATATAAGTCAATTTATAATTATGCTCTATTCGGTTTCATTTTAAATTAGAGAATTATTAGGAAAATAGTATTTGACTTTCTCTGAACATTTCTGAAAGAATAAAATAAGTTTTTTTTTTTTTTTTTTTTTTTTTTTTTAAGTAATTATTTAAAACTTGTAAAGTTATTTTTAAAATGTAAGGGAATAATTCTTTTAATTATACTTATCAGATTTTTTTTTACCCTTCATTTCAACAATTCATATTCCAAAACTCCAATACATATTCCAAAAAAAAGAATTACGTTCTTAAGTGCGCATCTCATAGCATTTGCTTTACAATACCTTTTAACAGATTGCTTTCCAATACGAACAATTCTTGCTTAAATAGTTTTATAACGTATTTGTCAACAGGATTTCAATTTATGTTTACAATTTAATATTAAGGTTATTATATATTTAGATAACATTTATAATCATTATAAATTAGATACATTTAATCATTAGATTTCTTCACAGTACTTTCACAGTTGTTTATAAGTGAATAAATTCTTCATTTTCAAATACATTTATAATAATTTAATGAATATTAAGTATTTTGTCAAAGGCAGATACATGCTTTTTTCAAGCACATGCATAAATACCCATACATATTTCCTATTTATCATTTCCGGCATGTGCAAATCTTTAATTTCTGTGCATTCACTATATTTTTCGTAAAGTAATTTACACTAATTTAGCGTACATCCGAAAGTTTTACATAAAAATATATATGAATATAATTTGAATGAAAATTATAAGTATTATTTTTAATACCCACTCAAAGGGTCAGTTTTTCTTCAAAATTCCCCGCGATGGCATCTCTCTCTTTAGCAGATAGCCCTTGCATGCGTTACTCTATTTAATAAAAACTTAATCTGACCTATGTGCCTAATTACAAATATTTTAACATACATAATTTTATATTTACATTAGCCATCAAGTTTTCAAACTTTTCAAATCTTCTAGAAAATAAATTTTGGCAGATCTCTTTTAGCAATTTCTTAAAATCTATTATTTTTGTAGTGCAACAGCTTAGAATTTTATAAAACAAATTCATAAATCAAATCGCTGTTGTTAGTTATCGAAAAATAACCAAGAATGTGATTTTTGCGTAAATGTCAGTAAACTATACAAATTGCTATTATCCATCACACTATGAATGTTTCTTTCATGTGAGAGTGTCCCTTTTTCGATTTCTATGGAACTGTCGCGTGTCGAAATACTATCAGAATTTTGTCAAGCGAGCTTCTGAATGTAAACAAAAATACACCCCGTCTGGTGACCCAAGCTTCAAAGCAGTGCTTCACTTCTAGCGCGGAATGGCCCCTCCTCCCTTTCCTACCCCATGGGCTGATGACGTACCAGTTTTCCAGTAATTTGGCAGAAGGTGGGAGACATGACAAACGATTCTATTAAAAGGGATTATACACCTTGCACACAAAAAAGGCGGAAAGTTCTATATCTCCTTTTCTACTGGACCGACTGTTGAAATTTAACTTGCGGTTTCCATGTTTCGAAAGCGCGATTTAGGATATATATTAGATTTATATATAGCATTGTTTTAATATAGATATTTTGACACAAAATGGGACTTTTTTCTAAAATAACATACCATTTTTTGCCGTATTTCGATTCTGACTTAAATTATGCCTAGATAATTGAATGTTATAATATTTGGTAAGAAATTGATGGAGAAATTGAAAATATTATCTTGGCGCATTTTTTTCATCATCTTAAAGTAAGATTAATTCCCTTGGCGAACTTCTTAATTTATAGCAACTTTTCTTCATTTCCCTTTTTTCACAATACACGAGAGGAATCATTATGTCATCGTTCATATTTTCGAATAATTTTAAAATAACAGTGCGTAAATCACATTTTTGTTGTTATCGCTTATAATAAATACGCCAAATTTCAAAACGTGTCAAAATGTAAATTCACATATATCTTGGGAAATTTTGAATAAAAAAAATGTAGTTTTTTGCAGGTATGCTTAGAAATACATATACTTTAAGAGGATGGTACACATTTTATAGATTATTTTTTGAAATATTTATAAAAATTATTTAAAAACACAAATTTAAAAAATAAATCATGAAAATGGACGAATTTTATTTGGAATGAATATAAATTTCGAAATATGAAAGGAAGAATCAAATAAGTTTAATAAAAAATAGATATTAATAAATACATATTAAAGTCAATAAAATGTAGGAGCTAAAATTTTGAGAGCTAACTTTTTAAAAACTACTGGTGCGATTTTTACAAAACTTGGCCCTCTAGCATAATTTGAGACGTAGAATCGAAATATGGAAAAACGTTGAATATGTTTTTTCAGAAAAAGTCCGATTTTGTGTCAAAGTACTTATGTTAGAACAATACTATATATTAATCTAATATATATCCCAAGTCGTGCTTTCGAGGCATGGAAAACGCAAGTTAAATTTTGACAATCGGTACAGTAGAAATGGAGATATAGAACTGTCACTTTTTTTTTTTTTTTTTCCAAGGGGTACCTATGGTAATAAAGTCGTTTCAAGGCTAGTGATGCGTTGCCACTTTTCAATCCTGCTTCTGTAGTTTCTAGAACCTAAAATTGTAACAAGTCTTACATTATCCCGACGTTAGGCTTAAGAAATTGCGATGAATTAAATAATCGCGATGTTTCTAGGTAACTTGACTGAAGGAAGGTACTTGGATACCTAAATTATTCTACCTTGAATACGGAAAATTTAACGCCCTTGCTAGCACCTTCGAGAAATGGGGAACATAAACTCAAAATACTACCTATACGATTTACTTCGACTAGTAGAATGGCTAATGCCGTAGAGTTAATTCGCAGAGCTGGTGAGAGAAATGAGTACAGCGAGCGCCGCTGCCCAAAGCTCTTTGTCTAAACTTTCATGAACTCATGATTTATACTCGTATACGATTTATATCCTGGTGAGAATTAATGAAAAGGTGAAATGACAGTATAACTCCAAATCATAAGATAATAGGTTTATTACCATAAAATATACTGCGCAGTATGGAATCTGAAAACGTCATTTACGTTACTGTTTACATATAATTGATATATAAAACAATGACGCAATTTACGTCACCTTTCACATATAATTTTACCAAAACTCTTTACGTATGTAAAACATTCGTAAGAATGTAATTTATAAAATTTTGTATCCCTTTAAGTGTTTGCATTTTTATCAGAAAAGGTTAAATATGGCTTCTTTACGAACGCCTCCAAATTTTTCTACAACTCTCATTTATCTAAAGCAGGTAAAAGAAGATTTAAGAGCCAAACCACATCTGAAAAGAAGCAAGTCCGTCAAAAACATTTTGGGAAAAGAGGTATCGATAGCATTATACAAACAAGCCAGCTAATCATAAATATAACTGTCTTGTTGATTTTGGCAATTAATCTTGGGAGGTAGATGCTGTATTTGATTTCAAAGTTGTCGTGGTTGTATTAGAAGAGACACTACTTCGCTTTTCTTCTTAAACGACCGGAACGACTGTACGTTTTAATTTTAATTAGACTGGGAGAAAGATAACACCGCCTACGCTAAAACTCATTTTGTGAATGGAAGAAGGGAAGGTTAATATACTTGCTGAACACTAGGCCATCTTTTTCAACTTCCGGAGATAGGTTTCACGTGCAGTAACTTAGTTATTAAGTAATATTATTGCCAAGTTCTGTGTGATTATAATGGTACTTGAATGTGTGATTATAATGGTACTTGAATATGTGATCTTCTTGTTTTGTAGGTGGAAACAATTGGCGACGCTTATATGGTGGTTTCTGGAGCACCGGATCAGGAACCTTGTCATGCGGAGAAGGTGTGCCACATGGCACTGGACATGGTGGATGTCATCGGAGGTCTTAAGGATCCGTCTAACGGTGAAAGTCTTAGAATCCGAGTTGGTAGGTGTAATTTCCTTGATATCACTTAACCAAAGGTAAATGCTTGGGGAAAATTGACGAAATTGATGATTTCTGAATTTAAAATTTATTAAAAAATTTCAACTTCGTCGATTTCGGCATATTTTTGTTCACTGTCACTTTGATATGAAATATTTTTTAGGCAAGGGACAAAAGATGTTCGAGTATTTTTTGCATGGAAAGTAGCGAGTGATCCAATTTAAAAAAAAAAAAAAAGAAAGAAAGAAAGAAAGAAAGAAAGAAAAGAAAAGGAAAAAATCAATTACATCCAAAGGGGCGTTTTTTTAGCATTTTATGTGCTGCCTTTATTTATTAAATATCGGGTCCTGCGTACCCAAAACGTTCAACAGCAATATTGCCAAATAATTTTAAAATGAGTATATCTTTAGAAGTTCCAATACAGAGTCTCACTTTCTGGTGATGAAAAGATTTTTTTTCTCGTACAGTGTTGCCATCACTCGCTATGAAATCATTTAGTTTGTTAATCAAAAATTCGTTGGAGTTTTACAAATATGAAATCTATCATAAAACGAATTCCAAATTTCAAATTTGGGCTTTCAGATGCCCATATTCGCAGTCCGATTACGTCATTCAAAATTGGATGGCTCTAGATACCGTTGTTTTATCACCATGCGGGAAACATACATACATTTATGCAGATTCTTCATTATTTAATTTTCTGCAAATATAATGCAGGACTCTAACATTTGGTAGCAACTGTTTGGAAAAGTGAAACGGACATTTATAGTGATTCGACGTAAAATCGCGAAACGGAAAACAATAGTCACTTCAGGAACAAAGCACTCTTTGGACTAAACAGAAAAGGAAAGAAAAAAAGAAACTGGAAAAAAAAAAAAAAAAAATCTGAAAGTTTTTCAGATTTTAAATTACGTCTAAAGGAGGCGTTTTTTTTTTAACATTTTGTGTCTTACCTTTATTTATTAAATATCATGTTATTTGCACGTTTAAACCATAAAATTCAGTTCAACAGTAATATCGGCAAAATAATTTTAAAATGAGCATTATCTTTAGAATATTCAGGATACAGACTGTCTCGCGCGCTGAGAGATAAAAAAAGTTTTTTTTTCTCCCCGCGTACAGTGTTGCCATTGTTCGGTTTGAAATCGTTGAATTTGTTTAATCAAAAATTCGTTGAAATGCTTTACTAAAATATGAAATCTGGATAATGAAAACAAATTTCGAATTCCAAATTAGGGCTTCCACATGCTCATATTCTATGGGTAGATACGTGCGCTTATTCAAAAAATTCGATCGGCTCTAAGTATCCGTTGTTTTATCACAATACGAGAAACATGACCTACACTTTATGCAGATTCTTCATGATTTAATTTCTTTAAATATAATACAGGGCTCTAATATTTGGTGGCAACAATTTGAAAAGTGAATCGGACATTTATAGTGAACCAACTCAAAGTGCCAAAACGAAATTAATAATCCTTCAGGGCAAATTGCCCCTTTGGACTAATGAGATATTCATGACAATTGGTTTTAGTGGGTTATAAGGTATTAGAAATGGGCGGAGCCCGACCCATCTGACCACACATGTTGGTCGGTCTTATGGAAATGGCCACGCCCATTTCAACAATTATGAAATGGCCACGCCCTTATGAAATGAATTATGAATGAAATTATGCCCTTATGAAATGGCCACACCCATTTCAACAAAAGAAAGTAAGTAAAACATAAAATAACTAAATAGTCGTGTGTTAATACTAATTAAAGACGTAAAAGTGAAAGAAAAGAACAAATACAAACGTTTCAACAAAAATAAACATTAAAGACAAAAAAACGCGAAAAACAAACACAAACAATGGTTATAATCAAAATTAGTGAAAAGAAATACACCAAATAGTGATGGCGATAAAAAGCCAAAATCATCCACTCATTCCCACTGCTGGACGCTCTCCACTGATAATTTTCTTTGCATGATTGTGAGAAAACTTTACAGCATAAAAAGGGATTTTCAAAATCAAATTTTTATATTGTTTTTTAAGCTATTAAAGTAGGGACAGACCTCGAGGAAGTGCTATTGGCATCACCAACCAAACCACATAGCTTACATTTTTCATCGTCTTGTATCTGATGTATAAGGTATTCCAAAAAAAAAAAAAAATTAAGGTCTTACACTTTATTTTCTCCCTTCTTTTCGCATGCCTTCGTGGTGTAACTGGAAGCACATTTGACACGTGTTCCGAAGTCCAGAGTTCGAGTCTCGGCGAGGGCATTTCACATATTTCACGTCTCCAGCATCAAACAAACCTAACGACTCTACGAGTGGCGCCCGAACTAAAAAGTGGTAGACGATAATTCGTCAGCACCAGGATTTGGCGATTGTGTCCCCTCATCCCCTGTCGTCAAAAGGGCAAGTATATAGGGTATTATCTTTCTCCATTCCACATACCTTTCTGGCGTAACTGAAACTACACCCGACGCGTATTTGAAAGATCCAAGGTTCGAGTCCCGGCAAAGGCATTGCTTATTTTCATGTCTTCTGCTTCAAAATAACCTAATGTGTTGTTGCGTGCGTACGGGTTCGTTACGAAATGAATGCACAAGTCCGATGAAAAATGAACAAAATTTATTATTATCACAACAAAAGTGCTTAAATCTCTCCTCAGATATTCGTGCAGTATTACAATATCTCACAGTAGTTACCTTTTAACTACGCAAACGTTCAAGAGAACTTAATTACTAAAACAGCTAAAGAAAGCTAATCCGCGAATTCGCTACAGTCAACAAGAGCAGTTTTCTAAGCAAACTCTTAAAACAACAACAAACTAACTAAAAATCATCGAATTGAGAGGTTTTCCTCCTTTTTATAAGATTTTTAAACCACGCGCGAGAACTTTCTAGAACTTTCTCGAAATCAAAAAGAAATATTTATTTATTTATTAAATGTTAAATGCACGTGCTCTTGTATTTTTTTAATTTTCCGGCTTAGCTTTCCTTTAGTATTCGTCACGTGCTACACTGCATGGGGATTTAAAACAATTTAATTTATAATTCAACTAATTTTACCCATTTAAATACCAAACCCGTAATAGAGTCTATAAGGTATTTCTCCTGCCTTCGTAGTGTAGTGGTCTGCACGCTCAACGCATATTCGAGAGGTTCGTGATCCGATTCCCGGCGAAGGCATTGTTCCTTTTTCATCTCTTTTGCTTCGAAATAACCTAATATCTCTCCAGTGGCGTCCGAACTAAAAGGAAGGTGGATGATGATTCTCCACCCCCAGGATTTGGCGATTGTTTCCTCTAATCCCCAGTCGCCTTTTAAAAGGGTGAGTAATAAGGTATTTCTCCCACCTTCTTAGCATGCCTTCGTTTTGCAGTGGTCAGCACGCTCGACGCGTATTCGAGAGATCCGTGGTTTGAGTCCCGGCGAAAGGGTTGCTCATTTTTTTAAGTCTTCTGCTTAGAAATAAGCTTAATGTTGACACCCCTATACTGTTATAAAAATATGGCACTTGAAGTTTAAGTTTCAGTTTATGCTGTTAGCTTTAAAAACCGTTTGTTTGATGCAAAATGTAGATGAGTATTTTTACAACTGAAAATTAATTCGCAGCTATGAAATTTGACTGCGTTACCCTCTTTCCCACACCTTATGTTAGTGATCGTATTTTATGCCTTATTTTGTCCGAGATGCAAGGCCGTTTCGTTTCTTATAATCAACGCTTCCACTTTCTCGAAACCAAATTGCCAAAAAGAAAATCATTGAATGAGCTTTTGCAACGAAATCGGGAAATCTCTTCATTTACGTCATTGTTTTATTGATACCATTAGTTTTATAGACCTTTTTATAGATTATTAGATAAATTTTATTCCAAATGATTCTATAACAATTTAAATGTCCCGTTTTGCATCATATAATTCACCAGAATTGTCTATCATGACCTATTCCAGCATTTTGTATACAGTTCTTTGCCGTTGGAAATATGGGTCTAGCTCGATTGGCTAGAAAGTTAGTCGCAGTTGGTATTTTTGAAACGCCCTGCTTAGATGTAAACATTATATCATCTAATGCACTATTTTAACTCAGACAGCACGTGTAGTCATTTATTTTCCTAAGATAGGGTGGATCATAAATATAGTAATCTCTTACCATCTTTTATCATTTCTTTTCCAGTTTAGGGTGTGGTTCAGAACAATGCTATTAATAGTGTCGCGAAAGTCTAACAAACAGAGAATTTATAGAACTAGCTTTATAGAGCTTTGTAAATAAGTGCTATACAACAGCGATTCTCAACCGGTGGTACGCAAGAGAAAAATAGGTGATACGCAAAGAAACAAAGTATTTTTAACTATTAAATTCAAAAATCTAGTGAAGAAAAAGAACAATTGGTAAAAATTTCTGTAACTCTAACAGAAGATTTCAAAAATAACAAACGCTTTTGGCTGAATTAAAAAAAAAAAAAAAAAAAAAAAAAAAAAAAAAAAAAAAAAGGAACTTAAAGGCTTTTCAAATAAAGCTCTTAAATGTTTATTGCGTTTTTGCACAACCTATTTGTATGAACAAGGATTTTAATTCCACGCTTTATTTGAAATATAAATACAGAACAAAATTAAAACTGGATCCTAATTTACGGTTAAAGTTAAGTAAAATAAGACCAGACCTAAAGAAATTGATCTATCTTAAACAACCGAAATTTCAAATTAAAATATTATAAATTAAATTTTGATAATTAAAAAAGTAACCAATTTTTAATCTAATATTTTTTATGTTTGCATATTTAATGCAATAGCCAACAGGTTGTACAAATGGCAAAATATTTTTTTTAAATATTTCTATTGAGAAACTAAAAAATAATCATTGTAAAATGTGGTGGTGGTACTAAAGTTTTTCAATGTTTATTTAGATGGTACGCGCTAGTCAAAAGGTTGAGAACCGCTGCTATAGAAGATGACGTTTTTTATATATATATTTATTTTATTCTTTTGTTTCCTCTTAATTCTGCTAACGCA